GGGTGTGTGTGTGTGAAGCATTATCAGAAGAAGTACTGTATATATCTTATGCTCATTAATGTATTTGCAACTTGCATGTTCCATACATTAGGAGAAAAAAAATATCTTTTAAAATACTTGCACACATATAATTAGAAAAAAAATATTCTTAAAAGCTAAAATAATACTTTACCAAATTGGTCATAAACCTTCAGAGTCAAAGACATTTTACAGCAAAAAAAAATTAATAAATAAAAATGGCTATGGCAAAATTTATAGGGCATTATATAAACTATTGTAAGATACTAACTTAGAAATTCATTTAATAGATTTAGTGGCAGTATTAACGCCTTTATAGTATGCCTAATTGCATAAAAAATAATGAAATTAATGAAAAGCAACAACAACTCATACATAAATCACAAGGGAATTTTCAAAAGTTGTAAATTTTCAAATGGAAAATAGACTATTACATTTTTGTATATCACTTTCAGTCTTTCGGGGTCTTAGCATTCTACACACCTTCACTGTTGCACGTCAGTGCTTTGTATCGTTGACTATTCAAGTGACTTTAAGCAATGAAAATTGCGTTAAATCCGACTTTATAAAACAGAACACATTACAATTTCAAAATGTTCACTAAGTAAGCATCTTTTATAGGAATTTTGATGGTATTTATTGCAAATTTTCTTATCAGTGGCATTGATTATGCAAATAAGCAATTAACATAATGTTATTATATTAAATCTTATTTGCATACTACAGAAAAAATAGGCCCCGCCCCTTATTACTACTTTCATTCCGCCAAGTGTGAAACCGATCGGGCTTACCGATCGGACTTTCCGATCGAATAACTTTAGTTATCATGGTAACAAACAATTTTCCAAACAGCGACAACGACGACGACAAGAACAACAACAACATAACAAAACCGTAAACGAAAACGACAACGACGGTACCGACAAGAATAACAACAACAACATAAAGAACATGATCTCGGGGAGGCTAATAATTAGTTAAAGCATTTTAGAATGCACATCACGATACATAATAATAGTTTGTTTGGAAAAGCGGTTCTCACACTTCTTTTCTGACGATCCTAAAGAAGTATATCGGTTTCAGCCGCAACCCAGTCACCACAAGAGATTGTTTTGCTTGCGTTTTTCATTTTCTCATTGAATTACAGCAAATAATAAAGGGCCCCATTCAACACTTTATTTATAAACACATTCAAAAAACAAATTTAACCTTTGTTTAGTAAATCAGTACATCTATGAGACAGACGGCTTTGCTAAATTATTTCTATCTTTTTATCTTAGATTTCAATAATGTGGAAAAGCGGGACTCACGCATCGAAGGTTTCGAAAATGGCTTCTAGAATTTGATTGCCAAATGACCACCTTTCGTGTAATCGCCTGTATCAAAAACTTCGATATTTTTGCAGAGGTCCGTCAGATACAATATTAATAACCTGGCCTTTCTATAATTTGTTAAGATCATTATAGCAGTGTAGTGTAGTCGTTGACTACAGTATATCATCTTGGTAATGGGGCATTCAAAAATGTATAAGGATAACTCCAAAACGGATTATGATTAGACTAGATCAGAGTTATACTGGGCAAGGGGTTTTCGGTATTATCAGGCTTCAAATGATTTTAGACATTCCAGTTGTCTTCTCCTTCAATTAAGAGCCATTCATTTTTATTCAGTCAGGCATATTGTATATTGTATATGAAGATTCTCGACCAGTATATTTAACTGAATATTATGAAGTAAAAGATGTACATCAATAATACACTAAAGCAACTAAGCATGATTTTGTTTACCGAATCTTAAACCTCATATTAACATTATCTTTCTTTTGTAATTGTATCTATAATTGGAATGGTCTTCCTGTTTATTTAAATAAAGTTGATGATAAAACCTCTGACAAATAACTCTTAACAATCGATTTATTTGAAATCAGCAAAAGCAAGCTTAGTGGCAAGGAAACAGTTAAATTCTAAACATTTTTTAACCAATGTCTATTAATTTGTATGTGTAATCTCTTTTTTTTAATTTTTCAATTAATCTTACTGTAATTTATTTTTTTCTTAGACCCCATCAGAAATTCTTTGTTAGGGATTAATTGGGTCGTTCAAAATCTATACATTTATAATTTATATCGATATGTATACTAGACTCTATAGTTAGACACAGTATAACAATTAATGATTATCCTCTGGCCCCGAAAACCTGATTTAGAAATATGGTGATGGTTTCCGTAACTTAAATTGAATATGTTCTATAGATTCCATCTGGAAATAAAGTGATTCAATGAATGAACTAACATTATTTCATTTGAAGTATTTGTGTCATTAAAACTGAAAAAAAAAAAAAAAAAAAAAAAAAAAAAAAAAAAAAAAAAAAAACAGAAAAGAAACAGACATACTGGAAATCAAAATCAAAAGAGAACTGAGTCATCCATGCAAGAGGATTACCAAACAAACAGAAAGAAGCTGTTCAGATAATCTTTCGGTGAATTGTACAAACCTTTAAAATAAAAATATACTTCTCGCACATCAGTAGCCAAATCATTCTAAAGACGGGAAAGTGATTACCAGTAGAATATTAAAAATAAATCAGTCCTGGCATAGTTATGAATAAGTTAGAATGACGTAGGCTGTATGCACTAACGCTTTCAGCCGGTAACATATCACAGTGCCTTTTTGACTTAAAAAATATTTTTTCAAACTTTAAAATTACTTGTACTCTGCGCTCAGCAAAACTAGCAATTTTTAGTTGATGTATGACATTAATTTAATTCTCTTATTGTTGGCCAATTATAAGTTTGGATGCTCGTTTTTGCAACCTCTCAATTTGGTTAGACTGGTGTTTAATAAGACTTAGTGCCAAACTACGTTGTATTCTTTAATAATCAGGATTTGAGAAAACATCTATGCATTTCAAATTTACAACATCAATAAGTAATGCAGTGTCATTTATAATATATTCATTGTTTTTAATAGATATAAGAAAGCAATCAAAGCGCATTGTAAAAACCATTGAAAATAATAATTTAAAAAAAATCCTCGCACAATCACTGTGAAACTCTACTTAAGTTGCCCATGACCAACATATGTACTATTAAAAAAATAATATTACTTTTAATTCAAACAAGCATTTTTTTTGTGAAGGAAAAGATTTCCCTCACCAATTAACACTATTGCTGTTTCATATCATTTAGTCATCGAACAGTGAAATTACATTCGTTTGTTACAAATGCTTTTTTTTTCTGTTTAGCCTAGAGTACTACAGTTGAGCACCTCTCTGGAGTTATAATAATACGGTCTGTAGATATACTCGCTAAGACTGGTAATCATGTATCAATAATATTATTAAATAAAATAAAATAAAAATATACTAGGCCTTATGCATGTGTTCACTGTTAAACATACTACAGTACAGTATTTGTGGGATGGTGTTTTTATGCAGGGAGATGGTATTTTATGTTGCTGTAGTATTGTACTCCTCTCCTGTACGCTATTTTATTGGTTTTTTTTTTTTTTTTTTTTTATTGAATTTATTAACAGAAAAAAAATGCTTGCAGTACACCATGTATGTACCTAGTTCTAAAAAAAATTAGGTGCACCCCTCGGTCATCCTATTTGTATGCCCATCCCTGCAATACACTTATTATAGAACACCAAACATGAATGAAATGCGAGGAAAAGAGTTACAAGTTAATACATTTATTAACAATATAAAAGGAAAGTTATTCTACAATATTCATTAGAGGTTGCCTGTTTTGTTTTAAAAAGAAAATTACCTGTAGATAATTTTTCTAATTATCATTACATTGTACCTAATTGCAATAGCAATTAGATACAATGTAATGATAAAGTAAATCGGAAATGAAAAGAACTAATTTAATTTGGATCAGGCAAGAAAACATAACTTTGCAGTGGAAATGATAAAACATATGTCAGCCTGGGATTTGAATAAGTCTTTAAGGGTTGAAAAATCATTACAATTTATTAAAAATTACATCTAATCTTATTTTGATTGAGTAGGTGGCAAGAAAGCAGCGCAGTGGAGTAAAATGGATGAACTGTAGAGTCAACCTCTTACTCTTTCATAAAAGCCCATTTTCAGCTTTCTTAGAAAATTCACTGGTCTTCATTTTCTGACTTTAACATGAAAAAGATTTAAAAAGGCAGTGCAGTGTAATTTATAATATATTGAATTTTTAAAATAGATATGAGAAAGTAAGCAAATTGAAAAATATTTTGCAAATTGCTGGAAATCACAGTTCGTAAAAAAATACTGTACGATCTGCACCACACTTCCAGAGAACACTGAGACTCGAGTAAAGTGCTTGCTGTTGCTGTTGCTGTTATTGTGTACACAGAAATAAAAAGGCTTCTAATAACAACGAAAAGTTTTCGAATTCCTGGGCAATAGCTTGATTTGCCTGTGAGACTTGTCAGGAGATTGCTCGAGGATCTGGGCCACTGCATCTGCAGTCGCCTAAAGGAGGTGGGGCAAACCTACACGCTGTTCCGCCGGCCCATCAGACTCGATCAACATCCGGAGGTCCTTGCAGTCAAAAAAGTGCTGGCAGGCGACACACTGAGCCTCACCCTAACCCATTCACGTTCAAATTGAAACTAAAATATGTGTTTGGAAAGACCAGCAAATACCGGTCCACGATCTCAGCGGTTAAACAGTTATGCAGCATAAGCTGCTGATCGAGTGGGATGTTGAACAGACGGAGCGGAGGATGACGAGACCTCACAGAAAGTATTCGTCCTCTCTCTCATCTTCCGCCATGACCCGAAAATACAGACAGATCACCTGATGACGTCGGTACATGTAACACTAGTCCAGGACGCACATATGAAGATTGTCCCGTTTGAGCCTTTGTAATCGGGTTTGGATGTGGCCTAAACAAATCAAGACTACTGGATCACTTATTGGGTTCACTGTGAGACATACCGTCGCGTCAGCCACCATTGCTTCCCGCAACTTGGTCATTACATCCCGGGTTCTAACATCAATGTCAAAATGTTCCCCTTGCTCACACGTATATCGCTCCCAGTTCAGTCGGTTCATTAAATCATGGGGAGAATCCTCTTCACCGACAATATGCTGGGCCAGCCCTTCCAATACCTTCAGCTAAATATTAGCCCGTCGCTACATGCACAAGACCTAAGGCTTGAAGCACGCCGGTCTGTGACTACCTAGGATGTAATGCACACGTTTACCACGTTGCGCTCAGCACACCCCGCGTACCGGAACGAGATCTTTGGGAGTGGACGGCGATCTGGTGCTTCTGCCGGTGAGGATGGTAGGGCTCAGGCGAGTGGTGTTGCTCTGTCTCGGGCGAATCAATCTTCACCAACTTTACTTTGCTCTCTTCGGCAGGGCATTCTGCTGCATCTCACTAGGGCCATGCTTTAGTATTACTAAAGTCCATTCCTGAGGGGAATAAATAAAATGTATTTTATTACCCCATCAATAATTACGTAATTAGATCTCGCTTTTTGTCCCGGCAACCAGTGCATTTGTAGAAATCGATGTTCGAATCGTCCAGCTGAGAGACATTTACCTCAATGATTACAAATGGAACCTTCAATGAAGGCGAAGCTTCTTACATTTGCCCTTCGCACGTAAACCTTGTCCCCTACTTGGTAAAACCGTTTCAAAATACGAAAATCGTAATTTCGTTTTATGTGCTTCTGAGTTTCCATAAGGGTCTGTCTTGCTACCTCACAAGCGTCCCGAAAGGAGGTTATAAGCTCTGAAATATAGGTATCCACTTCCACTGCGTTCTCCAGTCCACAAACACCAAAACAAAAACTAGATCAACAGGAAGGTTAACATTGCGTCCAAGAATCAACATGTTTGGTGCGAAGCCTATGGAACGATTTACGATGTCACGATGTGACTTAAAGTTCCAGAAATTTGTGAAAGATGGATGTTCAACATGTCTGTCTTTTTCCAACGAAGCACATTTTAGCATCCATAGACGTTCTGTTAAAGCGTTCAACTTGGCTGTTAGAAGATGGTTGGTAGCTAGTAGTACGAGTCTTGTTGATCAGTAAAAACTTACCAAGTAAGAAAATGATTCACTTTCAAAATTTCTCCCCTCATCAGATTGTAGCTGAAAAGGCACCTCAAACCGAGAGAAGAAGTCCCTTACCACCGCTCCAGCAGTGGCTTCAGGCGTCTGGGAGGAGAGAAGACTAATTTCTACCTACTTAGGAAAAAGGTCGACATTACCAATATGTAGATCTTGAACTGTTCTGTTTTTTTTTTTTTTTTTGGTAATGGACCATGGAAATCAATATGTACCCCTTCATTGGTACCCTAGCATAAAACTCGGTCATCGGGTTTTATGCCCTTAGTAGCGAGACGTCCACTTACTACGATTACAAATTTGAAAAATATTGTTCAACATCGTTGCCCATCTCATAACAGAATTTCTCATTGAGCTATGTTTTGTTCTTGTGACTTCTTGATGACCAGCAGAAGGTGTGTTATGGTGCAACAGTAAAGCTACGGATTGTAACTCTCTTGGTAACACAAGGAGGTATCCTTTTGAATCTTCTTATTTCAGAAATAAAATTCCCTTGTCGGTGATATGTAGGCGTTCTCTGTTTTACCAGAAGAAATTGGTAGAGGGGCAGAAAGGAACAGTCTATTTTTGGAGAGCTATTTGTTCTCCAACTAATCAAAGACTATAGTATAAGATTTGAAATTATTCCGCTGATGCTATTAGAATTTGTCCAACGAATGACCCCAGCACATCGCTACCTTAGAACCTGGTTTAACTGCGAAAACCATACCATCATTATGCAACATAGGTATTTCATTAGATTCATCATTGGAGGAAGGTCTATGAATTTCAATAGTTACCTGTCACCTGTGTTTTCACTTTCGATTCTTTCAGCGTTGACTTTTATACATTAATTATTGTAACATTGCATGGGGGACTACAGTTGATCTTTAAATTACAAAACGTGCTCTCAGGATCTGTGCAGGGTCTACGTGCATAACTCACACTAAACCTTTATTTTACAAATACAATGTACTTAATGTCTTTGATCCTAATAAATTTCAATCCTACACATTCATGTATCGTTTTATAAATAATTTATTACCTAAACATATTTCTTTATTATTTCCAAAACAGCAGTCTGAAATACATAATTATCCCACTAGATTTGCAAAATGTAGTGTCTCATTAGAAAAAAAAATATATCTTCCCTTAGAAAAAAAATCTATTTTTTACAATAGACCAAAATTATGGAATTCTTTAGATACATTTTAAGCCTTTACCAACTCTTTCTTCCTTCAAATCCTATATTAAAAAGGCTCTGGTCTCGGTGCATGGCAAGTAAGTCATCTGCTCTGTTCCATCTCTCTT